AGTTATCTACAAGTTGGAGTGCCCTTGTGGCCTCCAATACGTGGGCCAAACCAAAAGAACACTTAAGATTAGACTCAGATAACACGTTTACAACACTAAAAGGGGTTTTGAGAAACACTCCCTCTCCAATCACTTCAGAACACACCATAATGGAGACCCAACACTTCTCTCATATTGTGGTATAGAAAGGGTAGAAGTACCATGGAGAGGAGGTGAGTTGAGCAAAACCTTAACATACCGGGAGATGTTTTGGATCTATACACTCAAGACCCTGATCCCCTCGGGTCTTAACGCAGAGCTGGAATTAGCCAACATATTATAGTATAGGATTAGAACTATCAACAGCTCATACTATACATTACGTATATAATATTTAGCCAATTGTTCAATTTTTTCAGTGTTCAGATTAAGGTGGGAATTTATATTCCCAAGTAGTTGGGAATCCTAGATCTATATTGTTCCATTGCTGCATGTACTTATATGTAATGTATATGTTATATTTATATATCTTATAGAGAACTATATAAGTTCTGATTTATATGTTAGGAGCTCCTATGATAAAGAATATAAAAACACAAACTATTATGAGATGTCTTATCTTGCATTTTCTGTACTAGACATGGTTTTTTTATGCCATAAGTCTCTACAAGTTAGCACATTCTCTTTTTTATAGTTCTAGGGATACAATTTGTTATTAGGTTTTTAACTTGTTGGAAAAACTTCTGATAAATTTATATACTCTGTGGTCATTTGTTAAGAGTCCAATTATTATTTTTACATCACTGGTTAAGTAATACCAATGATGTTATATTAGTTAGAACATTGATATCCAGGAGTTTGATATATATACATGTTTATAGCAATCACTATCATTATGATTGTTTTATGTTTTGGATTTGTGTATGGAATTAGTAGTTCAAGTTTATGCATAAACTGTATCTGGTCAATACTGTGTTTTATATGTATGATTTTATATGTACTATTGGGAAGCAATTTGCTCCTGTTTATATAAATTGTTGCATTTTTAACACGTGTTTTAAGAAGGGTATATACCCTTAAGAGATTTGAATTTGTTTTACCCGGCAAAGTATAAAACTGCCGAACAATGCTCCGAGCACCTATCTTGAAAAAGCCCTCGTTAGCAGGGCGAAACGCGTTGATAGGGTGCTACTATTGTTTATCTGCAAGATTCATCTGTGGCAGATTCTACAAGTACTTGACAGAAGCCGGACTTTCAGCCAGCGTTTCTCCATAGACAACATCACGGGCAGCCCTCCTGAGTGCACCGGAGAGGAGCTGTCTCTAGGGGAAAATACGAGTGGCTGTGAAAGAATTTTTTTTCGGCATAATCTACAATGATGAGTACAAAATTTTATTCAATGTAAGAGTTCTGAAGTTGGGGGGGATTTTTTTCTTTTGTATCCTGGGCAATAAATTTTGATACAGTATCACGCTATGTATCTTTCTCTGTTTCTCTTTTCTCAAGGTATTTCTACATGCTTTTGAGTTCCTACATATCACAACGTAATTTGGACTCTTCCATTGCAGGACTTTGTTACGGAACTATACATTCTGGACACTTTTTTTGCATGATTTTTCCATCCTTGCATATGTATGCACCTTTTTTATTTTTAAGGGGATTATCTACTTAGCGCTGAAATCTATGTTTGTGATGCATCATTGGACCCTGAGTCGCTAAAACGTGTATAGGTCTAAACTAAGCCTTCTATCATAATTACTGATTTTACGGTCTGCGTTTTAATATGTTCAGCCTGATCACTATGCCTTTATTCAACCAAGCATTCATTTAACCTTTTTTTATCTTCAACGTGCAAATCAATCTTCTTTTCATATCTGTCGGAGCTGTGCATCACAGTACACGTGTAGGTCCCATCATCAGGAATGCTCACACTGGGTAAATACAGAGATGCGTCTCCATCCTTGATCACCTGCAAGTCTATTGTCGCTCTTGCGTAAGAAACTACCTTGTTTTCCTCATATTTAAGGATTTCTTTGTCCCCAAGTTTCCAGAATATTGCAACTAAACTGGGGTTCACGAAGCCGGCATGGAACTTGCAGGGAAGGTGAACCAAACTTCCTTTCCTCACTGTTTGAGAGAGCTTGCGAGCCACCACTTTTCACACAGAATCTGAGGAGACAAGATAAAGACACATCAAATGCACTGCCATCTACATACTGTATATGATGCTATATTTCTATGTATTTTATAGTCTCCCAACAGACTCCAGTGTATCCATGTGTTTACCTGGAATGCAAATTAATATGTCTAAAAACAAACATCTAAAATTAAGCCCTTAACTCAAACTCCCGCTACCCCTGGGTGGCAGCAATGAATACAGTACATTTTTTTTTTTACGATCAATGGGCCTATTCCATGGGCATGGGCCTGGAGCTGCAGCTCCATCAGCCCCTATGTTAATCCGGCCCTGCTAACATGTTATCTACAGAACAGCACAGAATCAGTATGCAGTAATTGTTGTGGAGCAATATCCTATAGAGAATACGTCTAACATAGTTTCACTGACACAAGCTATTGCACAGTAATTACACTGGAATCCGAAGTGTCTGCACTACAGTGTAATTATAAAATAAAAACCCTACGGGACGGTGTTTCACAAGCAATTCAGACATTAGTTTCTTATTTAGCCAGCTTCTTATATTAATAATATAATGTATCCACTAAAAAGTATGTCAACTTTGGAAACTCAAATTAATGCAATGCTGTGTTTTCTTCTTAATGAAAATATTCTAGGTTGCGGTTGTATGTAGGAGACAATATGCTTGATTAGGAAGGCCTCTCGGGCAGGTTGCATTGTATGTCATTTATAACATATGCAGGGCTATTTATTAACTTAATTTACAAATTAAATGGCAAAATAGCTGAACTAGAAAAATCCTCTAAGTCAGCAATGCTTCTAGTTTAGCAATTTTGGTCTAAAATCTGGAATTCACTTTGAGCTCTCTTTGAATTTCTGACATAGAACATAGAATGTGATGGCAGATAAGAACCATTCAGCCAATCTAGTCTGCCCAATTTTCTAAATATTTTCATTAGTCCCTGGCCTTATCTTATCTCTAGGATAGAATTATGCCTATCCCACACATGCTTAAACTCCCTCACTGTATTAACCTCTACTACTTCAGCTGGAAGGCTATTTCATGCGTCCACTACCCTCTCAGTAAAGTAATACTTCCGGATATTATTTTTAAACCTTTGCCCCTCTAATTTAAGACTATGTCCTCTTGTTGTGGTAGTTTTCCTTCTTTTAAATAAGGTCTCCTCTATTACTGCGTTTATACCCTTTATATATTTAAATGTTTCTATCAAACACCTCCTGTCTCATCTTTCCTTCAAGCTATACATGTTAAGATCATTTAATCTTTCCTGGTAAATTTTATCCTGCAATTCATCAATTTTTCCAGAAAATTTCACTTTAGCAAATAATCCTGAGAGAGTGGTCAGTACAGCAGCAGTGTTGTCATGGTACAGCCTTCATTACAGTGCAGCATCTTTAAAGCACTTGTTATAATAAGATGTCATTGAAGGCATGGCGCAGATGTGTTCTGATTAACCCCCTAGAATATTCTTGTAACCTGAAAGAAGCAATTGGGATCCTGTGCTATTACAATGCAGTAATGCTGTTACATTCTTCTGAAATTTGAGAGGATGTGTTAGCGTAAGGTCAGGTTTAGGGGAGTGTACAGGTAGGTTGGCATGTAGAATTAGGGTTAGTAAGAGATGGGGGTCTTAGAATTAAGGGGGCTTAGAGTTGGTACGAAGTAGAATTAATGCAATGTTTCGACAACAACTGAGGTATTTATCAAGCTTTTGCTTTTTATATACACAATTAGAACAGAGAACTAATGAAAAAGAAGCCACAGGCACTAAGTACTGTGGCATATATGTATGGTGGCAATGAAGGAGTTAATCTGTTTTGTTTAGGATTTGAATGTGAGGAATTTTACATCTTGTGGTAGTTGGTCAGTTAGACAGGTATCTGGGTGGAATTGATGACACAGCTGTGTCCAGGGCCGTCTTTAATAACGAATGGACCCTGGGCAAGTGTTTGCTTGGGCCCCCTGTGCCCTGCCGCTCTCGCCCCTCACTCCCTGGTATGCAATCACGGCATCCATCCCAACGCAGTGGCGGTACTAAAGTAGAATGAATTTTATTGGGACCCCCAATTGCAAGGTTGGACTAAAGGTAGAACCCCATCTGTCGTGCAACTCCAACAATGCTTTGACAGCTGGGACTCTACCAATTTCCCATGCTTGCAGGGTTGTATTTAGCACTGAGCCATGTTAGTATGTTTGAATGTAAGCATGTGTTTGTATGGAGTATGTTTGTGTGAATGTGTTTGTATGTGGTACTGGAGTTTGAATGCAAGTGTGCATTTATGTGTAGTGTTTGTTTTTGAATGTAGGAGTGTGCTTGTATGTAGTGTTGACGTTTCAATGCAGGAGTGTGTTTTATATGTAGTGTTGAAGTTTGAATGGAGGGGTGTATTTGTATTTAAAGTTGCGGCTCAGATGCACAGGTACACACTCTGACGCACAAGCAGATACACAGATACATACACTGACTACATACAGATAAACAGGCACATACACTGACAGACACACTGACACAGGTACATATATTGACACACACACAGACACATACACTGGTAGACGTACTGACAGACATACTGACACAGGCACATATACAGACATACTGACACACACATATACAGACATACTGACACACAGACACATATACCGACATACTGACACACACACACAGACACATACACTGATCAACATACTGACACACATACACTGACAGAAATACTGACACCCACACACTGACAGATATACTGACACCCACACACTGACAGAATACTGACACCCACATACACTGAGAAATACTGACACACACACACAGGCACATACACTGACACACACAGACTGATATACTGACACACACACACACATACTGGCACACAGACAGATATACTGACACATGCATACACATGCACTAACAGACATACTGATGCACTGACAGACATACGGACACATACACATACTGACACACACAGATATACACACACATATATACTGACACACAGACAGACAGACATACTGACACACACAGACATACTGACACACACACAGACATGCTGACACACACACACATACACTAACACACACATACACTAACACACACACACAAACACACACACTAACACACATACACTAACACACAAACACACACACTAACACACATAAACACACACATACATACACTAACACACACATACACTAACACACAAACAGACACACTACACACACACAAACACACATTTTTTTTTTAAATGTAATCCCCCAGCCTCCTTACCTTTTGGAGTGCTGGGGGGATTCCCTGGGGTCCAGTGGTGCTGCTGGGCTCCTGGGCGGGTGGCCGGTCGGGCAGGAAGGCGGGCGCGCGAGGGAGCACTCACTGCTTCCTCTTCAGCTCCCTCGCGCGCCGCGTAGGGATGCCGGCGCCGGAAGATGACGTCATCTTCCGGCTCCGGCATCAGTGCGGTGCGCGAGGGAGCTGAAGAGGAAGCAGTGAGTGCTCCCTCGCGCGCCCGCCTTCCTGCCCGACCGGTCAGCGGGGCCAACGGGGCAGGTGCCTCAGGCCCCCCAAGAGAAACTGGGCCCGGGGCAGCTGCCCCGTTTGCCCCGCGTTAAAGACGGCCCTGGCTGTGTCTGGGGGCTGGAGCTGGCCTGGGATTGGTTGGAGGTCACAAGCAGTAAAAGAGCGGGAAACTGGGACAGTATAAAAAGAAGCAGTACTAGATTAATCCTGTCAGAGTTGACTGAAGTAGGAACAGTGCCAATGGAATCTGAAACTACATGGCCTCAGTAGATTTAATGTTAAAGGGACACTTCAGACCCCTAAGCAACTTTAGCTTGCTGAAAAGCTTTATGTGTGACGAGCAAACAGCAGTGGAGTGTTCCTTTAAAGACTTGAAACGCTGGTGGAGAGCCTGTTTAAATTCAGTGCCAGAGACTTCAAAAGCTGACTGGGAGACTCCAGTAGCAGCATCTTCTCCCGAAGAGTGTTACTGGCGACTGGAGTTTACTGCTAGTTTGCTTGACAGCTTTGGCTGTAAAGAAGCGCACTCATGCAAGGAAAATAAAATACACAGCTATGCAGCCAAAAAATGCTGAATTTAAAGGAACAGCACTTGTAAAGTAGACCAAGGGTAAGAAGCCTGCTCTTCTCCCTTTGGACTTGTTATAGGTCAGGGTAGAGTAGAGGGCATGGCTGAAGAAATCCTTTGGAGAATAGAAGACATATCGGATGATGGGAATGACCATCATTTGGATGATATGCCAGTCCTAAAAAATGTAGGTGCATGGCAGAGCAGGTACTTCAGGTGGTGAATATGAATAGCAATTTGCAACAAACAATAAGATATTTGACATCTTCCATATTTACTATTGCTTTATGTGTATGTTTGTCTTTTAAATAATATAACAGCAGAACTTTGCTATCTGAAGCTTGTTACCTCTTGCAGACGTGTCACTCCGTATTGATTCATCCATGGAGGGTACTGTGGTGGACCGCTGGGCACCCCGACTGGGTGCCTCCACCAATCACTGCTTCCTAGTAATCCTTGAGTACCATAACCACCACACCAGATACCATAACCACAGTAAACCCCACAGCCAGTGTTACAGCTTGGTTGGGTTCTCGCTGTCATCCACCAACCCTGGACCCAAGGCCAGGATCCAGCTTCCAGTGGGTAGACCTCTCCTAGCTCAGAGAGTAAAGCAGGCTGCTCTTACAAGCGCAAGTGTTGTAATCCAATGGAGTATAATGATTATAGCAATCCCCAGAGTGAATATAGCTGTCCCCTCCACACATGAGACGAGGGTAAAGAGCCACTCTTGAATGGCAGCCACAACTGGCCTTATATGCAAGTCCCCATCCAAGGGTTTTCCATGACATATTCCAGGGGCATTCCCCACTGGACCTGAGAGGGGACTGTGACAAAGTACACACTGTAATTACATTGGCTCTCAGGTCCAGGATACTCCCAAACAAAATAGGATAATCCCTCCCCTGTGCCTGAGAGATAATTCAGTCAAGAACTGTACTAAACTCAATTATCTCCAGGGACAGAAAACATACATTTAACAACACCCCGAAAGTACCCCTAAAACACATGGAAACCCCTCAAAAGTCACGTCCTGGGGACCAACATATCCAAAAATCACCCAGATCGGTTAAGGGGGTTGGGGTTTCCATGGAAGTCATAATTTTGACCGACTGTGCACATGGTCCTATGCCAAAAACAGTTCCAGGAAATCAGTGCTAATGGTTGGTCAAGTTTGGTAGTCTTTTACAGGTTTCCCTGCAGGGCCCAGAGTCTCTGGGCAAGAGGCTGGCAAGCAGGCTCCTCCAGGAGCTTGTGGCAAACTCACGTGGGAAGGGGAGTTTGTCACATGTACATTTTCAGGGAATTTTACTAAAAAAGGAAAAACACAGAGTAAGCAAGAATCTTAATTATTGGATTAAATTGGCAGCAAAGTTTTCATTAAAAAGGCCCTATTAGCAATTAGAGCAGGAATAACCATAATGTGACCATAGGTAACCGCCTAGGGTCAAGGGGTTAGACATGGGCCCCAGAACCATGAATTTATTTGGCTCCATTAACCATCCCTATATGACAAAGGAAGTGTGGGCCCAGGGCCGGCCTTAGGGGTGTGCGAGCTGTGCGGCCGCACAGGGCGCCATGGCAACAGGGGCGCCGGGCGGCCAACACAGCTCGCAGGCCGGCCGAGTTCTGTATTTAAAGTGCAAGTCAAGTGCATAATACTGCTTTGCACTTGACTTGCAAATTATGAGCAGAGAGCCGCCGCCGGGAATCCACTTCTGTATGGAAGGTGGAGGAGGAGCGTGGGGGCGTTATGCCGCGTACTTGCGTAACGTCGACGTGCTCTGTCATCAGAGGGAGCCGCGGAAGGATCCAATTCAGTGAGTGAAGGCGGCACCCGGTGCTCTTCAATCGGCTGAGACAGCTCAGTCCAGGGAGCAGCAGCCTTTACTGTGAGTGACTTTTTTTTTCTTTTTTATTAAATAGGTTTTGTTGAAGAGGTGCAGGAATTTAATTAAGGGGGGCAGGGGATTGATGAAAGGGTGGCATGGATTGCATTAATTGGCAGGGGATTTATTAAGGGGGCTGATAAAGGGTGGCAGGAAACTGAAAACGGGGGCATGGGGCTGATTAAAGGGGGCAGGTGGTTGATAAAGGAGTGGGAGGGGATTGATGAGGAGATCAGGGGGCTGATGAAATGGGGGCAGATGGCTGATAAATAGGTGGGAGGGAATTGATGAGGGGGCAGGGGACTGATGAAGGGGTGGCCAGGGGTTGGATTATTTGGCATGGGATGTATTAAGGGGGCTGATGAAGGGGAGCAGGGGGTTGAAAAGGGGGCATGGGACTGATTAAAGGGGGGCAGGTGGGTGATAGGGGTGGGAGGGTACTGATGAGGGGGTCAGGGGGCTGATAAAAGGGGGAGGGGATTGGTGAGGGGGTCAGGGGACTGATGAATGGGGCAGAGGGCTGTTAAAGGGGTGGGAGGGGATTGATTAGGGGGTCAGGCGGCTGATGAATAGGGGCAGAGGGCTGAGTAAAGGGCGGGAGGGAATTGATGAGAGGGGCAGGGGACTGATGAAGGGGTGGCAGGAATTGATAAAGGGGTGGGAGGGGATTGATGAAGGGTAAGGGGTGGCTAGGAGTTTGACGAAGGGATGGCCAGGGCATTGATGAAGGGGTGGCCAGGAGTTTGATGAAGTGGTGGCCAGGGGCTTGGTGAAGATCTGGCCAGGGATTTTGGTTAAGAGGTGCAGTGGTTTTGTAGAAGGGGGTGGAGGCAACAGATTGTGAATGCTCCTAAAATAGTTTGAAGGGGTCCAAACAGAGACAGGTGAGGGGGGGGGGGGGCCACAAGATTGTTTCGCACAGGGCGCCTGAACACCTAAGGCCGGCCCTGTGTGGGCCTTAAAACTAATAACCTGCCTAGGACCCAATGGGATGTTTCTCTGTCAGCTCTCTTCTTATGTGACATATGGGGAACAAGTATATTGGAAAAGCCTACATAAGGTAACAGAGCACAGCTAATCGGTCTCAGACAATAATCTAAGCCCAGAATGATAGTGTTGAGCTGCCAGTTTGACTAGTCACACTGTATGGTTGCAATATAGTAGTGGTCGCCATGTAACTGTAGTGGTTATGGTGCTTGCCGTGTTCCTTAAAAAAAACTTTGCAAGTAGGAACAAATATAAAGTTAACTTTGATTTTAGATTTACTGGGGGATTAATGCCTAAACAGAGAATTGTAGTGGATTGAAAATCAAATAAAGAATTGTGGGCTAACATGGCCAAGCTGTGGCTATATCTGACCTGGAGATGTTATTTCCCCACCAGTTATTTTTGCTAAACATTTGCAATTCAGATTTCAGTTCAATTATAATTCCTGGTTTAGTACGTAGTCCCTTTACTGTGACTTTATAGATAATGATTTTATCTATACAGTCTGCTGTCCAATCTGTCGGAAAATCATACCCATCAGACCTTTTACCATTTTGTACAATATCCATAAAATAAAATAATTATATCTAGACCAAAGAATAGTATTGAAAATTAGCTTAAAGTACCTTGTCTGGTTAAATGCTGTTGTATTATTATTAGTCCTACTGAGGAGGAAGTCAATAATTTATCTGCTTCCCTTTTCTTTTGCGGTAAATAAGCCACACTAATAATGTAATCAGCCCCAATATATAGTAAAAACCAAAGAAAAGAAAGTTACCTGCGCTCTCTCCTTAATCCCTATGCATATTTAGACAAATGGAGGTCATTTAGTTGCTCCAATGGCCATTGGAGCAACTAAATGACCCCCATTTGTCTAAATATGGCCATTGGTGCAACTAAATGACCTCCATTTGTCTAAATATGCATAGGGATTAAGGAGAGACCGCAGGTAACTTTCTTTTCTTTGGTTTTTACTATATATTGGGGCTGATGTGTACTGTAGTCATTGCTGCCGGCCCAGTAGTGATGGGAGTGAGCGCAGGACTTCTCTTTTGTATTTGTAATAATGTAATCAGGCCTCCAATTGTACCAACACAGAGGAGTATCAAGACTTTGACACCTGTCAATACTATAAAGAACTGTAAATTAAAACAACAAGAACCATTTTTGTTTGTATTTGTCATGATCTTGTGCAGGTCAGATGGGAGACTTATGCCCGGATTATTATTTTAGACTTTATTGGAGCTTTTAGACA